AGACCTAAATATAAAATCCTAAACCATAAAACTTCTAGAAGAAAAAATGTTCTTTGTGACTTTGAGGTCATAAAACCATAAAATAAAAAAACTGATAAAGTGGATTTTATCAAAAAAATTTGTTCATAAAAAGATCCCAATAAGTGAATACACAGAGTCTTTAAAAAAAATCATAGCATATCTATCCATCAAAGGATTTATATCCAAAATACAAATAATACCTCCTATAAAAAGACATCCAACTTTAAAATGAGAAAAGACATGAAAGACACTCCATGAAAGATATACAAGTGAAAAATAAGCATATGAAAAAGTGCTCAACATCATTAATCATCTGGGAAATGTAAATTAAAATCAATTATTTCATATGTGCTAAAATGGCTAATATAAAAAACACTGACAATGTAAATGTTGACAGACATGTAAAGCAACTGCAACTCTCATACATCACTGATGGGAGTACAAAAATGGTAACCACTTTGGAGACAATGAGGGAGTTTCTGTTTTTTTTTTTTTAATTATATTATATTAAGTTGTAGGGTACATGTGAGCAATAACGTGCAGGTTTGTTTACATATGATAGTACCTGTACCATGTTGGGCGTGCTGCAACTAATCAATGGTCAGCCACCCATCAACTTGTCATTTACATCAGGTATAACTCCAATGCAATCCTCCCACTCCCCCTCCATGGATAGGCCCCAGTGTGTGATGTTCCCATCCCGAGTCAAGGTGATTTCATTGTTCAGTTCCCACCTTATGGAGTGAGAAAGTGGTGTTTGGTTTTCTGTTCTTGTGATAGTTTGCTGAGAATGATGGTTTTCGCTGCATCCATATCCCTAAAAGTGGGACACAAACTCATCTTTTTTTGGCGCATAGTATTCCATTGACTGTATATGGTGCCCATTTTCTTACTCCAATTGTCTTGGTGTACATTTGGGTGACTTCAAGTCTTTAGTTATTGTGAATAGTGCGACAATAAACATACTGTTGCATGGTGTCTTTGATAGCAGATGATTTATAATTCTTTTGGGTTATATACCCAGTAACGGGAGGCTGGGTCATATGGTATTTCTAGGTTTCTAGGATCCTTGAGGAATCCACCATACTGGTTTTCATAATGGTTGAATAGTTTCAATCCACATCAGTGTAAAAGTGTTCCTATTTTCTCAAATCTCTCGTATGCACCTGTTGTTTGCTGTTTTGAATTGATGCATTTCTACTGGTGTGATTGCGAGTGGTATCTTCATGTGGGTTTGATTGTCTTTCTCGGGATGGCCAGTGATGTGATGCTATTTTTCATGTGTCTGGTTGGACTTGTATACCATGTCCTTCTTTGAGAGTGTCTGTTCATATCTTTGCCCACTTTTTGGAGGGGTTGTTGTTTTTTCTTGTAATTTGTTTGAGTTCTTGGTAGGTTCTGGATATTAGCCTTTGTCAGATGAGTAGATTGCAAGAATTTTCTCCCATTCTGTAGGTTGCCGTTCACTCTGATGGGTTAGTTGTTTTTGCTTGTGCAGAAGCTCTTTAGTTTAATGAGATCCCATTTGTCAATTTTGGCTTTTGTTGCTGTTGCTTTTGGTGTTTTAGACATGAAGTCCTTGAAGAGGGCAGTTTCTAATAAACATGCACTTACCGTATGACCCAGTAATTTTCTACTGTTATTTATCCAAGAGAGATGAGAACATATATCCACAAAAAAACAAAAACAAAAGTCTGTGTAAGAACATCGATAGCATCCTTATTCATAATTGCCCCAAACTGGAAACAACCTAAAAGTCCTTCACTAGGAAAATGAATAAACAAATTGTGGTATATTTACAGAATGAAATACTACTCAGCAATAAAGAGTAATCCTGAAACATACAATATGGATGTCTTTAAAGCATTATCAGTGAAAGAAGCCAGATGCAAAAGAGTACATTATAATATGATGCCATTTATATATAATCCAAAAGCAGGTAAAGCAAATCTTTAGTGATAAAAATTAGGAAGTGATCACTGGAGTAGGGAGGTGCTCAGGGGTGATTTAAATGTACTTGAGAACTTTCTGGGTGAATTTTAATGTTTTATATCTTCTATTGGTAGTTATTACACAGACGTATACAATTGTCAAAACATCAAACTGAACACTTAAGGTGTGTGCATTTTGTAATAATATTAATTTCTACATATCAGTTTAAAATAAAGGTGAGCAGTGGATTCCTATTCCAGGAGTGTTTGTCTCCGATTCGTCACTGGCCTGTTATCTGTTTGCTTCAGTGAGATTTTTGGGCTCCAATCTATTCAGGGCCAGGCCCTTGATTATGGAATTTATCTTGAAGGGCACAGAATCCAGTGTCCCAGAGACAGCATTTAGAATCTGTGAAGCAATTTTGTGGAAACAACAGTCATTTATTTCCATTGGTTAGTGAGCAACCACTTGAGCATTGTAAGGCACAGACTTGTACACGGACTTCCGTAAAAGTACAGCACTTAACCTACTTTGTTGCAGGCTAGTCAAAATGTAGTAAAAATTAATTATTCAAAGGCATGCAGAACACTATCACCTTTCATTAATCCCATTCTCTAGCATTTACTGCCCTGATCTTTACAACACTCCAAATTAGTACTAGGATTTTTGGATACAAAATCATTTCCTACCACAGCAGACATCTTTTCCAAAGCAGGTAGACACTCAGATCATTCTTCCTTATTAGAAAACTCTTTAGTGTTTTCCCTAGCTAAATAGAAAAAAAACTACAACTCTGGGTATATGGTAGGAATTTATTAACAAGCAAACAACTTTGTTCATACCAGGAAGACCAGCAATTAGATTATAAATGACTTCAGAGCAAGTGCAAGAACTTAACAATTTTAGATCATTCCATGAGAATGTCTATTTGCCCAAGAAGGCCCACAAGAAGTGCCCTACAAATGCTGGTTATTATTTTACGCTGTACTTCCTCTGAGAAAATGATGTGACGTACAGAGGTGGGAGTACACATAGCAAGGAAGTCTCTCTGTAAAACGAAGCTGGGAAATTCAAGTAATGGTGTTTTTGGATAAGATGCCTAAGAAAACTTAGGACAAAATCCTGCTGTGCGTGTGTTTGCTCAGTCCTCAGGAATCCCACTTGGCCAACTGACTCCAGAGAGCTACAGCCTCACTGCACAAGCCTCAGATTCATAATTCTAAGTACAGCCATTTAATGTGCACTGAACTGGCTTAAAGGGCACTACTCTGTTGTTATACAGAAACAAATTTTAGCTATCAGAAGGAACTCTGAAATCTATAGAAACATTTTCAGCCTAAAAAGCTTTCTGGGGAATAAACTGTCTACTATAGATAGTTGGTTTTGTATTTCTTCTTCTTTCTTCTTTCCTCTTCCTCTTTCTTCTTTCCTCTTTCCTCCTTCCTCCTTCTCCTTCTCCTTCTCCTCCTTTTCTTTTTTGACAGTCTCACTCTGTCTCTCAGGCTGAAGGGCGGTGGCGTGATCTCGGCTCACTGCAACTTCCACCTCCCGGGTTCAAGAGATTCTCCTGCCTCAGCCTCCTGAGTAGCTGGGATTACAAGCATGCGCCACTATGCCTGGCTAATTTTTGTATTTTTAATAGAGATGGGGTTTCATTGTGTTGGCCAGGCTGGTCTCAAACTCCTGACCTTATGATCCACCCGCCTTGGCCTCCCAAAGTGCTGCAATTACAAGGCGTGAGCCACCATGCCCTGCCTGGTTTTATATTTCTATAATCACCCTCCAAATTCTCATTCTGAAAGAAACTTGAATACTCCATGGATAAAGGCAGGTGACTTGGAGTAAATTACACCTTTAAACTGGTGTAATCAGTGAAGAGGGTTTCGCAGGTGCCAAATAAGACATAAACGGTTACTGAGGAAATATTAAGTATATAAAGCTAATGTCAACTGGGCATGGTGGCTTGCACCTATAGTCCCAGGTACTCAGGAGGCTGTGGCAGGAAGATGGTTTGAGTCCTGGAGTTCACAGCAGTAGTGCACCCTAATTGTGCCTGTGAATAGCCATTATACTCCAAATGGGCAACATAGTGAGACCCCCACCTCTAAAAAAAATAGTAATTTTTTGAAAAGCCAATGTCGTCAATCAAAGTAAGTAAGGTTGGACTTCTGGAAAGGGTTTAGAAATGCAGGGCTGGCTTGCTGAACTCATTAAAATGCTAGGGTGGCTCTCAAATGTGAGGCGAAAGAATGAATACTTTGAGTACTTCTGAACAGTGTATCTGAGGTCACCAACAAAAGAGGCATCTGTTTTGAAGAGATGAGCCAAGATAAGAATTAAGTTTCCAGGGCAATCTTAGGTTGGAAGTCCCCTAATCAGTCTATATATATCATTTTAGCAGGTGCTTTTGGTGACTGAGAAGCACATACAGTGTGGTGAAAATAATATACTGGTCAAACAGAAGAGCTGGCTCTGATCTTAACTGGTTGAGTGACCTTGGGAATTCCACTGAGTCTATGCAGAATCAAGGTTGAGAGCTTCAGACAAACCAACAGACCTTTTGTTCACTGCTGTACCGCCAGTGCCCGGCACTGTGGGTGGTGACCAATAAAACCTAGGTTTGTAACTTTATTCTGCCACTTACTAACAGGATGACCTCGGGGAAACTACCCATCTTCTTTGAGCTTCTATTTTCTTATTTATAAAATGAAAATAGTAACTACATCCTAAGATTGAGATAGAAGAGCCAGGAGCAGTGGCACATGCCTATGATCCCAGCTACTCAGGAGGCTGAGGCAGAAGGGTTGAGCCCAGGAGTTCAAGTTCAGCCTGGGCAAAATAGCAAGATTGTCTCTTAAAAAAATAAAAAATAAAAATGAACAAGATGGAAACAAAGCATTTGGTAAAGACTAAATAGCCACAATTATCTATCATATACCAATTCATTACATATATTTTCAAAATTAAAATTTCAGGGCATTTCAGTTTTGTCCGACAATTTCCATGATGTGAAGCCAGCTAACTCTGATCTCCAAGATCTCCTTCCTGATTGAGTAAGCTCTCAACACCCATGTTTGTATTGATGATCATGCCCCATGAATCTGATTGGTTCTCTCTACATGGATCTGGAACAGTTAACATGTTAACATGTAATACCTGGAGCTATGGTGTAACTGACAGGAAAAGCAGCAGTAAGAGCTGTAAGAGAATGATGTACAGATGGCAGACAATACCATTTTAGGGGTCCAAAATGGTTTTCTAGTTCCCAGTCCAATCTCATCCTGCCTTTGGGAGTCTCTTAGACAGCTCTGTATCCTTATCTTTTGCCCAAGTTAGCACTGGTGTGCTTATTATTGTAACTAGGCTTTGTTTTCACATGTTCTTTGATCCTCACAATATTCCTATGTAACAGACAAGAGCATAATAGAATGAACATATGGAATCAGACAAGCATGGCCCTGTTAGACACTCAATGTGTAACTTTTGAGTAAGTTAGTAGTGTATGAGTGTCTTTCCTCATAAAATAGGGTAACAACGCCCATTTTGCTTTAGGGCTGCTTTGGAAGATACAGACAAAAGTAAGGCATCTGGCAAAAAGCACTCAACAAATTACAGTGTCTATTAGTATTCCCATTTTACAAAAGGGAAAACTATGGCTGATAAATATCAATATTCTTACTACTATACCACACTTGAAATAAAAAATACAAGATTATCAAGTGAGAAACTTGTGAACTCTAAGTGCTTGATTAAACTGTGAGTCCACTTACATGTGGATTTTTTTCAATAAATACATTGAAATTTTTTTGGAGGTTTGCAACAATTTGAAAACACTTGCAGACAAACCAACATTAAGAAAAAGAGTTGTCATGAATGCATAAAACATATGTAGTCTATGTTATCATTTACTACCATAAAATATACATAAATCTATTAATAAAGAGTACAGAGTTGTCAAAACTTATGCACACAAACTCTTACAGAATGTATATGGTACCATTCACAGTTGAGAGAAATGTAAACAAATGTAAAGATCAAGCCTCTGGAAAGGACTGTCAATGCTATCGAAGAGAACCCCGACAGAACATCATGGAAGTCTGGAAGGAGTGCACCACTGAAGACGTCATTGTTGTTATAGAAAAAATCATGGTATCATCAAGCCTGAAACAAGAAACTCTTGGTAGAGAAAACTGTGTCCAGATGTAGCACATGACTTCACAGGATCTATAACAGAGCCCATCAAGGAAATCATGAAAGAGATTGTGGAGATGGCAAAAAAAAAAGGTGGGAGGTGAAGGGTTAGCTAACAGACACCACACCAGAGGAATTAAAAGACCAATTGATGGAGATGAGCTGCTTCCAAACTAGTGCCAGATGATGAGGAAGAAGATGCTAAAAAAGCAGTGCCAGAAAATGAATTGACATTAGACAATCTGGCAGAAGGGTTCTGATTACTTAAGACTGCTTTGGACTTCTTTTATAAATGGACCCTTCTATTATACCGGCACTGAAACTAAAGCAAATGGAAGGAGGATTGCTACTATACAGAAACATTTTTAGAGAAACGAAAACGCAAAACAGATTATCAGGTTTTTCTGTAAAGTCACACCGAGTGTGCCTGCATCTCCTGAATCCCGTTCTATCTCCTCTACCTCTGCCACCCGAGACAGCAAAACCAAGCTTGCCTGTATTTTCCTCCTCAGCCTACTCAACATGAAGACCTTTATGATTATCCACTTTTTTTTTGAGATGGAGTATTACTCTGTCACCTGGGCTAGAGTGCAATGGCATGATCTCAGCTCACTGCAACTTTTGCCTCCCGTGTTCAAGCGATCCTTCTACCTCAGCTTCCCAAGTACCTGGGATTACAGGCGCCTCCTACCACACCCGGGTAATTTTTGCATTTTTAGTAGAGATGGGGGTTTCGCCATGTTGGCCAGGCTGGTCTCGAACTCCCGACCTCAAGCGATCTGCCTGCCTTGGCCTCCCAAAGTGCTGGGATTACAGGTGTGAGCCACGGGAACCAGCTGATCCACTTCTACTTAATGAAAAGTAAGCACATTTTCTCTTCTTCACAATTTTTAAAAATATTTCCTAGCATACTTCATTGTTAAGAACACAGTATAGGCCAGCCATGGTGGCTCATGCCTGTAATCCCAGCACTTTGGGAGGCCGAGGTGGGTGGATTACCTGAGATCAGGAGTTAGAGACCAGCCTGGCCAACGTGGTGAAATCCCGTCTCTACTAAAAACACAAACAAATTAGCCAGGCGTGGTGGCACATGCCTGTAATCCCAGCTACTTGGGAGGCTGAGGTAAGAGAATCGCTTGAACCTGGGAGGTAGAGATTGCAGTGAGCTGAGACCGTGCCACTGCACTCCAGCCTGAGCAACAAGAACGAAGCTCCATGTCAAACAAAAAACAAAACAAAACAAAAAAACCACACAGTATAATAAAACATGTAACCTACAAAATATGTTTGACTATTTATGATATTGGTAAGGCTTCTGGTCAACAAGAGGCTATAAAAACAGGTAAGTTTTGGGAAAATCAAAAGTAGTATGTGGATTTTCCATTGTGGGGGTAGGGTGGGTTAGTGTCCTAACCTCTGCATTGTTCAAGAGTCAACTGTAATGGTATTACAGTTATGTAAAAAGAGTCTGTCTTTAGAGATACATAAAGTATATTGTTATCAAAGAAACAATGTATCTAGTTTAGGTTTGTTTTGTTTCATTACATTGTAAAAATTATTCATATAAGGCCTCTACCATTATACCACAAATCTCTAGAGGGAATGGACTTTTTAAAAGGTAAAGTATTTCCAGTACCTGATTTGCAGAAAACTATTAATAAATGCTACTAAATGCGACCACTATCCAAAGGGTTCTTAACACACATACGTTATTTCTTTTCCTTTATCCTTGCCTCCTCTTTCTCTCCCATGTTTTAAAGCCTACATAATAGGTACTACTTGGCCCTATGGTTGTTCCCTTGCTTAGAAATACTAATTCTGAGCTACATAATTAGCTAACCACATGATCCAGTATTATACAACAATGAAACACTTCAAAAAACCAACACAAGTTAGGCGCAGTGGTGCACACCTCAAGTTGCCTCTAGTTCCAGCTAACGGGGAGGTTGAGGCAGGAGAACCACTTGGGTCCAGGAGTTCAAGGCTACAGTGAGCTATGATCATGCCACTGCTCTCCAGGCTGAGTTACAGAGTGAGACCTTCATCTCAAGGGAAAAAACAAAACAAAACCACAGCCATGTTGTTTCAAGAGAGTCAGGTAGGTATCAAAACAATGCTGATGAACAGGAAAATTGTGCCAATCTGAAAATATGTGGAAAATCTGCTTGGCATTTTATCTTCCCCTAAAGTACTAATATTTTCAAGCCTGTCAAATTCCCCAAATGAAATGAAAACCCTCACTTACCGTATTGACATGTATGAGGCTATGGAACTTGATTTAATCTGAGAATCCTGAAACTGCTTCTCACTAAAATTCAACATGAAAAAAAAAAAAGAAAACCCATACCAACACTGCTAATAAAACTTTTTTTTTCTTTTTTTGAGACAGGATCTTGCTCTGTTGCTTGGATTAGAATGCAGTGGCACAACCATGGCTCACTGAAGTCTTAACTTCCCAGACTCAAGCGATCCTCTCACCTCAGCCGGCATGCACTACCATGCCTGGCTGATTAAAAAAAATTTTTTTTTTTTTTGTAGAGACAGGGTCTCAGTTGTTGCCCAATGTGATCTCAAACTCCTGCACTCAATCCTCTTGCCTCAGCATCCCAAAGTGCTAGGATTGCAGGCGTGAGCCACCGAGCCTGAGCAAGACAAATTCTCCAATCAAATGTCAGAATCTGGAATGAGAAATGCAATCAGTGACCTGAAAACAGTTTGGGGAGTGGGGAAAAGCCTACAAACTTGACTGCTTAACAGAGGTATGCGAACTCTGGCCTGCATGAAAAATCCAGATTCCACCTGTCTGTAAATAAAACTGTTTTGTTTCTTTGTTGTTTTTGTTGAGATAGGGTCTCTATCATCCAGGCTGAAGAGTGGTGGTGTGATCATGGCTCACTGCAGCCTGGAACTCCTGAGCTCAAGCAATCCTCCCACCTCAGCTCCCAAGTAGCTGAGACTATAAGCACATACCAACATGCTTACGTGCTGATAGTCTCAGCTACTTTAAGCTATTTTAAATGGCTAATTTAAAACCCTTTTTTTTTTTTTTTTTGGTAGAGATGGGGGGATCTCACTATGTTGCTCAGGCTGGTCTTGAACTCCCAGCCTCAAGTGATCCTTGGCCTTGGCCTCCCAAAGCACTAAGATTACAGGTTTGAGCCATCATTCCCAGCTAGTAAATAAAATTTACTCAGAACAGTTACACCTATTTATTTAAGTCTATGACTGCTTCAGCATTATAAGGGCAGAGGTAGAGTTGAGCAGTCACAACAGAGATTATATAGTACGCAAAGCTAAAAATATATCCCATCTGATTCTTCACAGAAAAAGTTTGCTGACCCTAGTCTAGAGGACAAGAAGATTCAAATATCCACCGCTGTCGGCACTGTGGTACAATATAATGAATCAACAATTTTCTATAACACAGGTACATCTTTTGCAGGGCAGTCAAGGCACCATCGAGGATCTTTTGAAAATATATCAAACTTCTAGTAATTTTTCAGACTATGACTCCCAGTAAATGCTAGGCCAGAGCTTGGGAGTAGGGAAAGATGAGGAAGCCAGATAGGCTTGCAATGGTGTGATCCTTTCAGGGAGGCGTGGCTTCCAATCAGTTAATCAATCAATCAATCAATGGAGTGATAGGAAATATTTCCTTGTACTCCCACAGTTATAGAAGATTCTAGTTTAGTCCAACAGATGTGAAATAGAAAAATAATCTATTTTAGTGACAAGAATCTAAACCTTAGACTCTGGCTCAAAAGCTATGCACATAACCCACCCTCCCTATAGATCTCAGAAAGGGATTCTACCGGCATCCAAATAAAGACCCGGTGAGGTCAAGGATAACCCATATATATTTTCCTTATTGATAAACAGCACATCTGGCTAGATAACTACATCAGGTTAATGGAGGAAAAAAAAGGTGATAAGAACATATATCCATAATACATTTTAGGCAAATCAAATAATGCATCATAAAAATTAATGTTGGAAATATAGAAATATATACAAAGTGGGATATGACTTAAGGGACATCATTTAAGAAAGAAAAGAAAATTGGTGGGGGAACAAGTTATCTCATGACATTTAACAGTACAGTAACAACACATTTTTAAAACCCCAACAATAGTATCTACCAAATTAACATTTACTTGCATTTCACTGATTTTGTGGCTCTCTTGGTTTGGTTGTAGAGTTGTGCAAGAGCATAAGAGTTTACAGCTGGTTTTTGTTTAGATACATATTTAAATAATATTATAATGAATATAATTTAAGCCAATATTGGAATTTGTAGGGATTTTTTTTCTCCTTTAAATAGACCCAAACATTGTGAAGATCTGTGAAACATCATTTATAGTTACAAAATGTAATTTCCCAGTCATTTTATTATTTATTTATTTATTTAGAGACGGAGTCTCACTCTGGAGTACAGTGGCAAAATCTCGGCTCGCTGCAACCTCCACCTCCTGGGTTCAAGTGATTCTCTTGCCTCAGCCTCTTGAGTAGCTGAGATTACAAGTGCAAGCCACCATGCCTAGTTAGTTTTTGTATTTTTAGTAGAGACAGGGTTTCACCATGTTGGCCAGGCTGGTCTCAAACTCCTGACCTCTGGTGATCCGCCTCCTCGGACTCCCAAAGTGCAGGGATTACAGGTGTGAGCCACCATGTGGGGCCAAATTTCCCAGTCTTTTTAAAAAGGGAGAGATAAAACTTTCACTTCTAACAATACGACAGACTAGGTTACATATATATTCATTTCTATATATGATATTTTTATTAGAAATACATTTTGAAGATACGTTAACAAGTAAAACAATAAGAAACAGATGCAAACCATGTTTTAGATTGTATCCTAGCTAGGAAAACCATTTGAAAAGAATATTTCTGGGACAACTTGGGAATTTCAATATGGAATGGGTGAATGCAGGAACTCTTAAATTCCAGGGTTCTACAATTACGATAAAATCACCAGACTGAAAGGAATGAAAAGTGCTTTAGAATCTAATCCACACCTAGTGTTCAGATCCCTTCTATAGTAGTGGGTTATTTCCTTGTCTAGCAATAGGGAATTTCTCAGCTCCTGAGACACTCCATTCCAAATCAGCTCACCTATAATCATTAGAGCTTCTTGATGAACAAAAATGTTTAAAAAAATTTAAATAAGATACTGCCTATAAAAAACAACCGAGCCACTTAACAAATGCTGTTCGCTACTGTTCTCCTTGGGGTAGGAGGGATCTTGAAAGCAAGACTACCAAAAGCTAAAATGTGCTATGTGACTACATTAATGAAAAGAAAATAAGCTTACTATAAATAAGAATGTTCTTGATAAGTATTTTGGATAAGATTCCCTTTCTAAATGTAAATAGATATCCAATATTTACTGGAATGTCTTTCACAAATCTTTCAGAATTGAAAACTTCTACTCAATTATTCCCTGGGCTGGGCGTGGTGGCTCATGCCTGTAATCCCAACACTTTGGGAGGCCGAGGCCAGCAGATCACAAGGTCAGGAGTTCGAGACCAGCCGGACTACTAAAAATAGAAAAATTAGTGGAGTGTGGTGGCATGCACCTGTAATCCCAGCTACTCAGGAGGCTGAGGCAGGAGAATCACTTGAACCCAGGAGGCCGAGGTTGCAGTGAACTGAGATCATGCCACTACACTCCAACCTAGGTGACAGAGCAAGACACTGTCTCAAAGAAAAAATTATTCTCTAATGAATATGAACATACAGTGTGCATTCTTAGTCAACTATTATCCTGTAATACATATACTTACCTCCTGTGCATCTGTTGCTGCCTTTGCATCATCCTCATCATAGCGGTTACAGTTGTACCTTCAAGTAAACAAAGAGGATTCCATAAAGAAAAAAATCAATGAAAAGAAAAAAAAATCATAGAATTTTAACCTGAATTTATAGGTTAACACCAACATTGTGTTTTATAACAGAGAAACTGAGATGTTAAAACACCCAGGGTTCTAATGCTATAATGACAGAATTATCAGGCTGAAAGGATAATTGTAACCTATATCTAGTGTTTGAATCCTCTCTGTAATAAATTAGTTCTCTATCCAGTGATAGAAAATTCCCCACCTCCTGAGGCAGTCCATTTCAGATCAGCTCACATATCATTATTAGAAAACACTGTCCTCCTAGAACTTTTATTGACTATTGTCTGAATTCCTAACTCAAGTTTTTGAGAAAGAGATAATCTTATCTCTTAGGCCATCTGTTATTTAGGCCAAATATTTCTTTTTTTTTTTTTTTTTTTGAGGCAGAGTCTCCCTCTGTCGCCCAGGCTGGAGTGCAGAGGCGCGATCTCAGCTCACTACAAGCTCTGCCTCACATGTTCACGCCATTCTCCTGCCTCAGCCTCCCGAGTAGCTGGGACTACAGGTGCCCGCCACCACGCCCGGCTAGTTTTTTTGTATTTTTTAGTAGAGATGAGGTTTCACCGTGTTAGCCAGGATGGTCTCGATCTCCTGACCTCATGATCCACCCACCTCGGCCTCCCAAAGTGCTGGGATTACAGGCTTGAGCCACCCCGCCCAACCTAGGCCAAATATTTCTAATTTTCCAGGATTATTCACCTTATCTGCTCTTTCATAAACCACAGAAAACCAACAGTTGACAACCTACCATGTAATAGACACTGTGCTATGTGCTTTGCTATTACAGTTTTTCAGAGTCTTTTAAAAGTGCATAATATACAAAATGGTGGGAAGGGGAAACGGGAGCCTACATTATGGGAGCAGCTATTTCTTGAATGCTTACTACATACCATGCTCTTGGCTAAGGACTTTAAATGTACTAACACATTTAATCCCTTAAACATTTTATGAAATATGCATTATTTTCTTCATTGAGAAGAAGAAGAATAAACTTTAGAGAGGATGGGTAGCATACTTAAGGTCGCATAACTACAGAGTTTCAGAGCTTAAACTTTTGCCTGTCTCCCAATGGAGGCTTATGCCCTTAACCAGTGAGAAAACTGCTCATATGCTGTGTAAGATTCTTTTTTTTTTTAAGACAGAGTTTCGCTCTTGTTGCCCAGGCTGGAGTGCGATGGGGTGATCTTGGCTCATCGCAACCTCCACCTCCTGGGTTCAAGCGATTCTCCTGCCTCAGCCTCCCGAGTAGCTGGGATTACAGGCATGCATCACCACGTCTGGCTATTTTTGTACTTTTTATAGAGACAGGGTTTCTCCATGTTGCTCAGGCTAGTCTCAAACTCCCCACCTCAGGTGATCCACCCGCCTCAGCCTCACAAAGTGCTGGGATTACAGGTGTGAGCCACCACACCTGGCCCAAGATTCTTATATTAGTTCAAGTAAGTCATCAATAAAATGAGGAAAGCTATATATATATATATTTATATATAGAGAGAGAGCGCGCAATATATATATTTTTAAAGAAAAAATATGACAAAGCCTTTTAGCAAGGCTTTAAAGCATTCCACAATGTCTAATGATGTGCAGGGTAAAACCACCTGCAGGTTGGGTTTTGCCAACAGCATGTGAGTTTTCAATTTTGGTCTAGAGAGGCACACTTGATAATACAGTTATTCTCTGAAAAAGTCACGTACCTTCACAACATTCTGCCTTTGCTCATGTCGCAACTTTGGCCCTAAATATTTTTTCTACTACTATATTGAAGGAACACACCTCAAAATAATAAGAGCCATCTACGACAAATCCTCAGCCAATATCATACTGAATGGACAAAAAACTGGAAGCATTCCCTTTGAGAACTGGAACAAGACAAGGATGCCCACTCTTATCACTCATATTTAACATAGTATTGGAAGTGCTAGCCAGAGCAATCAGGCAAGAGAAAGAAAAGGCATCCAAATAGGAAAAGAGGAAGTCAAATTACATCTCTTCACTGACAATGTAATTTATACCTGGGAAACCCTAAAGATTCTGCTAAAAGACTCCTAGACCTAATAAACGACTTCAGCAAAGTCTCGGGATAAAAAAATGCACAAAAATCAGTAGCATTTCTATACACCAATAATCTTCAAGCTGAGAATCAAATCAAGAACACAATCCCATTTACAATAGCCACACACACTCACAGTACCTGGGCATACATCTAACGAAGGAGGTGAAAGATCTCTACAAGGAGAAGGAAATCATAGACTACACAAATGGAAAAGCATTCTATGATCATGGATAGGAAGATTCAATATCATTAAAATGTCATACTACACAAAGCAATCTACAAATTACCAATATCATTTTTTTTTTTTTTTGCAGAATTAGAGAAAAACTATTCTAAAATTTATATGGAACCCAAAAAGAGCCTGAATAGCCAAGGCAATCGTAAACCAAAAGAATAAAGCCAGAGGCATTACATCTTCTGACTGCAACCTATACTAAACTAAACTAAAGAACTAAAAGTAGAATTACCATTCAAACAAGCAATCCCATCACTGAGTATATAACCAAAGGAAAATAAATCCTTCTGTCTGCACTTGTACATTCATTGTAGCACTTTTCACAATAGCAAAGGCATGGAATCAACACAGGTGCCCATCAATGGTGAATCATATAAAGAAAATGCAGTGTATATATACCACGGAATACTATGCAGCCATAAAAAACGAAACTATGTTATTTTTGAGAACAAGTATACAACTGGAGGTCATTATTCTAAGCAATTTAACACAGAAACAGAAAACCAAATACTGCATGTTCACACTTGTAAGTGGGAGCTAAACATTAGGTATACATAGACACAAAGATGGAAACAATAAACACTGGAGATACCAAAAGGAGAGAGGGAGGGGAACATGCAAAGGTTGAACAACTACCTGTTGGGTACTGTGTTCACTAATCAGATGATGGAATCATTAGAAGCCTAAACCTCAGCATCACGTAATATACCCAAGTAACAAATCTTCACATATAATCCCTGAATCTGAAATTCAAATAAATGAAATAAATGGTATTGGGAAAACTGAGTATCCACATATGAAGGAACGAAATTGAAGTCTTATTCCATAAATAAAAATCAATTCAAAGTGAACTGAAGTCTTAAACACAAGACCTGAAACCATAAAATTCCTAGAAGAAAACATGGGAAATTTCCTTGACTTTGACCTTGCCAGTGGTTTTTTGGATATGACTCCCAAAACACAGGTAACAAAAGTAAAAATAGACAAATGGGTTCAACCAAACTACAAAGTTTCTGTACATCAGGAAACAATCAACAAAAAATTGGAACCTATGAATTGGTAGAAAATATGAGCACACCACGTATCACATAAGGGGTTAATATTTAAAATAATAAGAAACTTAATAGCAAAAAAAATGTGCATTAAAAATGACCAAAGCACCTGAATAAACATTTTTTCAAAGAAGACATACAAATGTTCAATAGATATATGAAAAGATACTCAATATCACCAATCACCAGATAAATGCAAATCAAAACCACAATGAGATATCATCTCATACCTGTTAGGATGTCTATTATAGGAAAGATAAAAGATAGCAAGTGTTGGTGAGGATGTGGAAAAAAAGGAATCCTTGTACCCTGTTGGTTTGAATGTATATTGGTATAGCCATATGGAAAACAACATGAAGTTTTCTCAAAAAATTAAACATCGAACTTTCATGTGATCCAGCAACTTCTCTAGTGTATACTCAAAGGAAATGAAATCAGTATCTTGAAGAAATATTTCCACTCTTATTTATTGCAGCATTATTCACAATAACCTAGATAAGAAACAACCTAAATGTGCATCAATCAATGAATGGATAAATTGTGATGTGTAAATATATGTATGAATATATATATACACAGTACGCATATATTCCATTATATATTATGTAATAATATACATAATTATGTATAAATCTAAAAGAGTTGAATACACAGAAGCAGAGGATAGAATGATGGTTACCGGGGCAGAGAAGTGGGGGGAAATGGGGAAATATCAGGCAAGAGTTATAAAGTTGAATTTGTATAGGATGAATAACTCTAGAGATCTAATGTACAGCATCATGACTATAGTTGATAATACTGTACTGTATACTGGAAATTTCCTGAGAATAGATTTCAGGTGCTCCCCACACACAGACACACACACACATGCACACACACACACATGCACACACACACAAAGGTTACTGTGAGGAGATGGATATGTTTTTCACTTTACTTTAGTAATCATTTTACTGTGCGTGTATACACATGTTAAAAATCATGTACATTTTAAATATATACAATATTTTAAAATAAAATTGACTATATAAAAGGAAACTTTATAATCGAGAATTTAAAAAGCAATAGCATGAAAAATAAAATTGGTATACTAGACAAAAATATGAGATATCATCAGGGGAAGACACTATTCAGAAGAAAATTAGTGGAACAAACAGCGCTTCAAGAATTTAAACTTGGTAAGTTATCACTTCAGGCCAAGCTGGGAATGCATCAGAGACTAGTAAGTATTGATATGTAGAAAGAGGAGGGATATTCTAAAAACTAGAATGAAATGAGTAAAAAAAGCATAGAACCAGAAAAATGAAACAGTTATTCAGTAGACATGGTGAGGATCAGAAGTTTTCAGGGATGAGAGACTGGGGTGTAATTCTATAAAGGTAAATTGAGATCAGTTTGGGAAGACCCTTGACTGCCAGACTGAGGGGCTTGACATAAGTATAGATTTTTAAAAATCTTCTTTTAAGGGCACCAGACAGCTGTAGAAGCAAAACACTAAAATTTCAGAGAGCTAGGAGCCCTTCCTCAGTGAGTTGATATGGCCAGCCATTTACTTCTCTGGGAATACTTGTCAAGTCTAGGCCTATGCTGAGGATTGAGCTTGGCATAAGCAGAGAAACTCTAATAGGGGAAAGAGAAAGCAGTGGAACACTTGGATGTGGGCTGGTAGGACTAACTGAAATCTAGAAGAGCCCCAGATACATATCTGCTTTTCAATGTAAGACATTCACTGAGTGTTTGAAGGGGAGAGGGTATGGTGTGCTGGAAGACTGGGCCAGAAAAATCCCACAGGAATATCCCACAGTCTTATTTGGGAGTAAATGCTTAGGAGAGAGTTCCACCAGAATGAGGGCCTTACTACAAACACACCTCGAGTCCTGTTCTTGAGACATTTGAAACTAGAATAAGACTATGTCTAACTAAAGGTACCACTGAGCACTGATCTAGCTCAGATTTTGGCAAGAATGAAGTGTTCTCCCCCGTATTCAAACATAGGAAAGAGCAAATTGTCTCCTGTTGAAAATAACACTGATTTTAGTTTTTATGATTCTCTTATACACAACATTCAGCACATAGTAAAATGTTATGAGGCCTATGAAGAATCAGGAGATATTTGAAGAGATAATGGTCAAGACTTTTCCAGAATTGAAAGAATCAGCCCACAGATTCAAGAAGCTCAGCAAACTCCAAAATAAACATATAGGAAACCACCCTAAACAACTATTGTCAAACTTCCGAAAACCAAGTAAAGATAAAGTCTTAAAAGTAGCAAGTGAAAAACTGTACATTATCTACAAAAAGAAAAAGTTATATCTGACTTTTAAACAGAATGATACATGACATAAGCAGAAACTATGGAAGTTAAATGATAATGAAATGACACTTTAAAAGTGCTAAAGGTGCGAGAAGGATCTAGAATTTTAAAGCCAGCAAATCTGAGAATTGTATATCTAGTAAAAATAGCCTTGAAAAATTAAAGCAAAGTAAAAACGTTTTCAGATAAAAAAAGAAAAAGCTGAGATACCTACTAAAAAAGCATTAAAGGAAATTCTTCAGTTAAAAGAAAACTTCTTCCAGATAGAAGCATGAAATGCAGGAAGGGATGAAGTACATAGAAAGAGCAAATATGTGTGTAAGTATAAAAGAATATTGACAACATAAAGTCAAAATTACTATATTATGCTTTTACACAAGTATAAAAGTAAAATATGTTAGAACAGTAGTACAAAAGGCAAGAGGATTTAAATAGAATTAAATTGCTTACAGGTTCTTCCATGCTAGTATTGGTAAAAATATCCGTTTAAGTTCTTCCATGCTAGTACTGGTAAAAATATCCATTTAAATTTGAGCCAGAAAAATCTCATAATAGGTTCAAAAATTCATTTTTATTTTTAAAATATAGAAAGTCAAAATTCTAATAGTAAAGTGGAATAATACAAATGCCATTTATTAATGCAAAATAAGGCAGGAAATAAGGGGTATGGGAACAAAGGAGGGAAAAATCAAAAGCAAATAGCAATACAGTCAACTTAAGCCCAGCTAGATCATTACACTAAGTGTAAATGAACAAAATATTGTGATTAAAACTCAAAGATTGATTTTTCACACATTGAAAATATATTATTTTTTAAAATATGCCAATAATTTACAACTTACTTAAAATGGATAACTTTTTTTGAAAAATACAATTTACCAAAAGTAACCCAAGAAGAAATAAAAAGTCAAAATAGCCCTATATCTGTAAAGGAAATTGAATTTGTAGAATTCAAGGTGTAATTTTAAACCTCACCATAAAGAAATCCAGAATTTTCAGATTCTGTGTAGGATGCAGAATGCCAGAAATACTATGTTCCCTACACAACAATAAGAAAAAGCCAGATAATCTACAAAATCATAAATGTGTATGAATCCTTTAGAAAGCTGAGATCACAGGTCAACCAATTAGCCTGACATTTAGGGAAAAACAACTTCCACCCAGTTGAGAGAGGAGGCAAGCACTGTTTCACCCAAAGCAGGGCATGGAATGAGACTAGTTGTTACACAAGTGTATAAAATAATTCATTATATCTTTAACTAATTGCTAAAGATGAGTATGAGCTACTGTGAGAGTATAGAAGCTCTGAGAACTTCAGACACTAAAGAGGGATTCCAAAACGACTCATAGACACTTCCCTACGGATGTTCACTGTGTGACCATCAGAAAGATTGGGAGAAAGGTGGAGACCACAGGAAGTTTCCTTCATAGTGCAGGCATGGAGAGAAGAATGGTTGTTGTTGCAAAAGAAAAAAAAAAAGCAGGAAGCTGCACTTGAATACCTCTAACCTACAGAACAAAAGCATTAATCCACTGCAGGAGAGGCATCACTCTGACAACCCTAGTGAATAGGTGAAGATGTATTGCAACTTGATGAAACATAAAGGAAAAACAACAACAAGAAGCAAAATAACACTAAACCTTGAACATGAAGAAAGAACAGGAAACTGTCTTGGGACCAACAATTACAGACCTACTACATCAAGTGAAGGGGCAGGTGCACTGAGAGAGCCCTGCTTCTGAGACCTAGGGGCACAGGGCCTGCCTAAGACTGAAACTGGACCAGGACAACAGAGAAACCACCACAAACTCGCCTTCCACTTCCCAAACACAATATCCTAAGCTTCAAATACACAAAGCAAAAACTTATAGTACTAACATAAGAAATAAAAAATACGCATTTGTAGTTAGAGACTTCAACATTCTTTTTAAGTAATCTATAGAACATAGATGGGAAATGAATAAGGATATGAAAACCTGAACAAAACTATCAACGATGTTGTCCAAACTGACATTTGTCAAGCACTTCTGCCAACAGTAACAGAATACACATTCTTTTCAAGTGCACACGAAACCTTCATCCAGATAAACTATATTCAGAGTCATAAAACAAACCTTAACAAATATAAAAGAACTGAAATCATGCAATGTGTTTTTGATTATAACAGAATTAAATTAGACATCAATAACAGAAAAAAAGGTGGAAAATACACAAATATTTGGAAGTTAAACAGCAAATTCCTAAATAACTAGTGGTTTTAAGCAAAAGTAACAAAAGAAATTAGAACATATTTTGAATTTAATGAAAATGAAAATATATCAAAATCTGAAAGATGCATCTAAAGTAATGCTTTGAGGAAAATTTATAGCATTTAAGGTTCATATTAGAAAAGAAAGTCTTAAATCATCAGTCTAAACCTTCATTGTATAAAACTAGAAAAATAAGAGCAAATTAAATCCAAAGCAAAGTAAAAGGAAATAAATGAGGATAACAGCAGGAATCAATAAATTTGAAAACAGAAAAACAATAGAGAAAAAAGTGAAACCAAAAATTGGTTCTATTAAAAGATAAAGTTAAAGCAAAAGAGAGACGACACTAATTACAAATACCAAGAATGAAAGACAATAGCACTACAGACCTTATAGATGTTTATTTTACATTGTGACTTCTTCTTTTTTCTTTTTCTTATTTTTGACAATTTTATCAGTTTGCCATTCATTCCATGTTTGCTTCAAGGAGGAAGAAATTAATATTTAGAAGGTAATATCAACAGTATTTGAAAACTACTTGAAAAGGAGAGACGGAAATGGGGGAGAGAAAGTCAATTAAACAGAATGTTAGCCTGAGATGCCAAATTTATAATAGAAACTTTGTTGATATGTTATTTCTGGGGAATGTGAGTCTGAGTGAGATAATCAATTGGGGCATGCTAGGTTTTCATTTATCTGAGGGACATCCAAATAAAGATGTCTAGTAGGCAGATAAATATGTGGTTTGGTGTTTGAAAGGAGGTCTGAAGTAGAGATTCAAGTTTGGGAGTCGCCAGCATACAGGTAGTATTAAAACCATGGGAGTCGAGTGGTGATATGTAGATTGAAAAAGCTGAGGCCCAGGATGATGTCCCCTGACTTTCTGAAAGTAGTTTCCAATTCGTTGGTACACAAGACACCACAGGGAGCATTCCCAAGTACCAGGAAAAAGAACTAGCATAAGCAACTCAAGACTTTTGTCCTCAAAGAAGAACCTAGAACAGCTCACTATATTAAAATGGGGTTGGCGCTATGTATACAAATAGTGCGCAAGTGCATGCAAGCACTTCTTGGACTTAAACCTATTCAGAAGAGAATAAACTTTCTAAATAGATTTTAGTGGCTAGACATAAAAAGTAAGCTGAGGAAACATCTAACAGCAATAATGGAGCTGCCAGATAATGTGGACAGCATTGATTGTTCTCGTTTGTTTTTTTCTTAAGTATCATAAAAAACTAAAAACAGATGGTAAAGATTATGATGTTTTAAAGATATTGCTAGAATGTTATCAATAAATATTTCAGAACAGATAATAAATATTCCAGGCATATGAGCATAGGCATATTTAGAGCGAGAAAATCAATTTTCTGCAATTAGCTAGAACTGACATTCATACTATTGTACACTATTACATCCATTTCTCAGTGTCCAAATTCTTGCTTCCATTTTGAAAACCAAGGCTGGTTTGGTGAGGGAGAGAGATGTGCTTCTGTTTACTCTCTTATAATGAAAATCTTTTTTTCTCTTGTGTGGTAGCAAGAATTCTCCCTATATGATTGTGTGGAACTATAATCCTTCAATAACATCTGTGATTCATTTTAGTTAGTGAAAAATAGTGTTTCACTTTTATACTTTACTTTGCAAAGAAGAGAGATTCCCTCATGGTAACTCAAGAAAAAAAGACTCTGGTAAAGCTTCCAAAATTGTGTATCATTTGCTTGTTGCAAAAACTCGCTTTTGCACTTATAAAATATTAATATAAAGCAATACAAAGCAATATAGAAGTTACTATTTTCTCGTCAGCAATTTAATCTTGCAAAATGGATTGGCAGCTTTTAGATGCAAGAACAATGTTTTATACCCTTTTGGATCGCTAAAGAACACAGGAAATGGTTCATTACATTGTTGACAGCTAATACTGAAATGCGACAAGTATTTATAAAATTAGAACATACCTTGCCTGCTAGGCGGCTGCAGATGATTCCATTGCTAGATATAAGACAGTCAGTCAGAGTAGTTTTTCCTGTTAAATAAAATAGGGACATCAATTCAAATCCATGTCTTTCTTAAAAGGGGTCATGGATCATACTTATAGATTTAAAATCTGGTCAGAAGAACTGGTTTAGTAAAGATTTTCAATTTACCTATGCTAGGTGACAAAAGACAAAAGAGATTTATTAGACTTTTGAACAGAATATCATCTAGAAGGACACAGATGCTAGCACTCTATATTGCTGTAATCTTATCTCCAACCCTGTGGATCTAATCACCCTCATCTGAAAAGTTGTCAAGCAACTTAAAGCCATTTCAAAAACAAAAAATTCAAGTTCTGGTTTAAAAAACAACATGACATACTACAAAGAAGAATGCTACTCACTAGGTAACTGTGTTCATTTCAAACGCTTTATAGCAAGGCAGGCTTCCCTAACATCACAGAAAACTTTTAAAGGAAAGACTCGCTTCTTAGCAAACACCACTCTCAGCTGCCCACAGCTTCACTCCACTGAGACATACAGAGACACACCTCCCTTATTTATCAAAACAAGCACTTTTAAAAAGGATTCTTACCATGGTCAACGTGAGCCAAAACACAAATATTCCTGATGTTGGCAGTGTTTTTCTGGAGATGAATCATCTTATCCAAACTGTTGAGCACCATGGTTACTTATTTCCTGTGACTAAAAATTAAGTAAGTATTAGTCCAGAGGCTAAAGGTCGGGGCAAAAGAAAAAAATAATAAACGCTAGTTGGTGGCAAGGCTTCTCAAACCCCTTAAACTAAGAACCCAGTGAATGTTTATTGATGAGACACACCACCTAGGCCTAAGTCCCGTTCGAGCACTAAAGTCAATATCCTGGCACGATTACACTTAAGGAGTTTGCTCATCCTTCCGGATCCGAAGGCTGCGATGAATCACGCAGCTCGAGGCGGCTGGGTGCACAGTGACACCAGTAACCCTGCCGGTGGAGGAGTACTCGGGTAAACTTCTCCAGGCCAATGACAGGAAGGGTTGCATGCAGGAGGGAGAGAAGATGCTGAAGAAGATGCTCCCTTTCTCTCCTCAGTCTTCCCCCAAGTCCCTCATTCTGACATTCTCGCTAGTCCTTGCGCCAGGTCGAATACCCAGCTTTATTCCTGCCCACGGAGCCCGAACAAACTTTTGGGTCACGTGCTTATTATCCAAGCAGGTGCACTGCTGGTCTTTCATTCCTCTCTAAATAAAAAGGAAAAACCTCTACACTACATGCCCTTCATTTCGGCAGGGTCCCGGATTCGTTCTCTGAGAATCGCTGGTCCACAGAGACCTGCCACCGCCCCGGCCCCAGACTGGAATCGACACTCCGGGGACTACAGCTCCCAGCCAGCGCTCGGTCCCAGCCCCGGTTCCCGCCTCAGAGCCGCAGCTAGCGGGGTCCTCCAAGCACCGCCCAGAGGCTGGCCGAGGAGGATGCCAGTCCCCAGAGCGAGCCCGCACTCACCGGCGGCAGCAACCCCACGAGCCCAGCTTCTCCTCTCGGCTCGGCTCACAGCCACACCAAGAGCTTCCGAAACGCAGAGATCTCTGCGGGTCCTGCACGCCCGCGCGCCAGGGGGCGGGGCCGGCTGACGCTCGACCTTTCACCCGCGCGCCTCTGGCGCCACCGGAAGCCGGCGCCGGGTCGATCACCAGGTGTCCCTCTGTTGCCTTGACTACGGCGGGCGCTGTGGGAGTGGAGAAGCCGCAAGTGCTGAGGCGCGGTGGAGGAAGGCATGGGAGCCAAGAGCATGAGGAGCTGGTGTCTTTGTCAGATTTGTGCCTGCGGGTAAGAAATGGCTGGTGTAGTGGCGGGCCGGGGCTTGGGAGCCGACTCCTCGGGAACCCTGAGAATGGCCGTCCCCCGCAGATCAAAGGACGAGGACGCAGCGACATCCCCACTTATCTCATAAGCTCCACGAATACTCGCTCCGCACCCGCCGGCTACCTGGGGGTAAAACGTTTCTTCGTAGCCCCTGAGACTCCCAAGCAAGGATGCAAAGTAAATAATATATGTGAAGCAGCGACGGGATATAAGACTGGTGAGTAGTGGCATGTGATCCGACTGGGAGAATGCATTTCCACCCCGTCATCCCTCACCACAAAGATGAGAAAGAACAGTGCTCAAGGCCCTGAGTCTGCAACCCATATCACACTTTCTTTCATCTGCTTTCTGTCCTCCCAGCCAGACCATATTCCCATTCCCGTCCAGGCAGCAGTTTTTTGGGATTCGCCTGACTGAAAAGGCAGTACAGTAGTCCCCACCCTGAAACCTAGAATCCAACTGAGTCCTGCCTAACAACCTTCCATCACCTAGAAACAGTCTTCTCCTTCCTCAGCTTCACTGTTGACCCAGGGATTAGATCATTATTTGCTAAGTAAATATGAACGTGTCAATCCCTTCGTATTTGTAATCCCCTTCAAAGAAAACACCTGCATGTTGATGGAAAGCAGTTTTTTTGATAGTCTCATAATAAACACAGTTCGTAATTAGAAGTAGATTAAAATATCAACAAATTAACTTTGGGTGTATGAATCTGCAGACTGGTGTGCAGGAGACAATTTTACTTTATTCCTTATTTACATTTCAAGACGCAAGTTCCTTTCTCATTCAGCTGTTAAGGAATTTGGTCTTATTATGTTGAGGGCCACCTACCCTTGGAATGGTGTGATTTTACGTTTTCTTTGTTTTGGTTGTGATTGTTTGTTTTAGGGT